CCCTAGATTATTGCGCATGTGCCACAGTATGTCAATGTTTGATTTTTTTTTCAAAATTCGAAAATTTGACGTCACATGAATGGGAAATGTAAGTATGCGATATTGCTTTCAATCCTGGGCCCTCTAATGTGTTGATGGAATTTCTTTTCTGGTTTCAGGGCCAGTCGAGTGGTATCGATTCCTCATCCGAGAAGGTGTCGACAAAAAGTGAAGGAGAGGAGCCATGTGAGACACCGAAGAAGAAGTTGGAGAGGAAAAGTTCTCTTCCAACAGAGGATGAAAAAACGTCGAATTTGATTCGAAAACAAATGAGTGAAATTGAGAAGGAAATCACTCGGCGGTCCCAGAATAAAAATATCAAAAAGGTGAGCTTTACATTGATTCCGGTACTTGGCGATTTGCCAAAAATACATGCTTCGCTGTAACTTGAAAAAGACTTCGAATTGGGTTAAGAATCGCAGGCTCTGTTCGGCAGCGGGGGGGGGCATTTTGCACTTCCGCTGCTCTCACTAGTTCCGGTTTACAAGTCTCACTCTGGTGAAACCTGTGAACTCTTGTGAACTGGAGCAAGCTCGTCGAGTTACCATGATAAAACCTGTCAACTCTCGCAAGGCTCTCTCGATGGCTCGACACGTGGATGATGGGAAGTGGCAAAAAAGTAAAATGCCCCCCCCCCCGTCGCTGAACTGAACTGCGCCGAATGGCGCTGTCGGGCTCTCGTTGCTTTTACGGCAACCTTAAGTTTTCTTTGTTTACTATTGCTTGTGAAGTATCCCACTATGCCCAAAACGTATCACTTAAAGTTCACTTATTGAGCATTGTCAAAATTGATCTGCCTTTTTTCAGTAATGAAGGCTGTTACAATCCTTTGCCTGGACGATGGACGAATTATTCAGCGAATTCGGGGAATATTTTCGCAGTGTAGGGTTAATTTGGGTAATGGGTTGGATGTCAGTGTGATGGACACTTGCCGCGCCGACTCACTCATTAGCGTTCCTTTCTCTAACTATCCTCGTTTATGCCGCTATCTCAAGTCCGCTTCCTTTCGATATATATCCGATTATGCTGCGCCCATAGAAATTCCGTCTAACGAGAGAAACTAAAGATATGCAGGAGGAACTGAGCATGGAAACTTCGGCAATCTTCCTTTTTTGGGACCTTTTTGGTCGAATTCCGGTTTCGATTGAATCTTGCGATAATTGTCCCTCAGCGGAGTAGCAGAAAGCGATAAATTAGCTATGCGAACCTAATTAGTTAGATTATTCCCATTCATAACTATGCCAGCGCTGTTTGGGAAAGAAAAGTGAATTTGTCCGCTGTAGCCTGAGGGAAAGTCATGAGGTAGTGGAAAGAATCACACGGTTGTGAAGGATGGCCTCTAATGTAGTGTATTTCAAGGCTAGCAGGGTGCTGCTTGGCTTGAAAGGGGCATTTTGCTCTCTTCCTGGTTTTCTTCTGCTAGCTCCTTTTGGACACAGGTATTACCAGGACGAGAATTGTAGGCTCCTGTTGTCACATGTGAACGCGAAGCAGAAATTCGTATTCACAGCAGGCATCGGCAGTGATCGATGGGAACCAGCAAAATGCCCCCACTAAGCCGAACACTGAGCCGATAGTCATAGGCTCGAACATTCCAGCCAGTTTTAATTTGCTGACTTTACTGTGCACGGGCTTCATCCTTCCATGGAGCTTTCAACGGAGGCATGGATCAATAGAGCCTGGAATGCTGATTACAGCAAGGGTGACCAAAATTGCTCTTTGAATCTCGCAAAAGGATTATGAGCGCTGGAATTTTGCAGGGAATGCTGCGGCAGTCTATAGGCAGACTTGACCCTGAATCTGAAAGGCTACGGACGGTACAGTAGTGGGTCAACGCTGATTATGGCAAAAAGCATATCCAGTGAACTTCCAACGCTCATAACTCCCTTGTGAGATTCTGCTAGCAATTTTTGTTTCCATGGCTGTACTCACCATTCTATTCCCTGTCGTTGTTCCTAGGCCTTCCTACAAGGTTCAATGGGAACTGATGGACGTTCTCCGGTTGAGATCGCAGGATCCCCTGATATTGAGCCAATTTACCCAGAATTATATTGCCTGGGAGATGGCTTTAGGAGCAGCCAGCGTTAGGTGGTGCCTAGCGCTGGGTGGTGTTCAGCACTCATAAAACGCCAGCGCTTTGCCTCAATTCTTCGCTTTCTCCCTGATTCAGTGCTGTGCATCGGGTGCTACTCATCCTCACAGGCCTAGCTGGGCATCCTGTAGCCTTATTACAGCGCGATCTTGGTCATTTGGGAGGGAGGAGGGGGGGGGGTCAACTATAGGCTTCCGTCTGTGAATCGAAAAGTTGTGCTCCAGTGAGCCAGCGCGGACTCAGCTTAGTTTTCACCCTCGTAGACACATCTGGCAGTAATTAGCGCCCAATTCTGGATGGGTACTTTCATCCGGAGACAAAAAGTCGACCCAGCGCACTTATAGGACTATGACCAGCACTCATTCGTTGCACTTAACAACAAAATTCCAATTGGAAAATGTTTCTGGTGGTCCAAAACTCCCTCCCCCTCCTCGGTCGAGTGAGTCTGTAGCTCCCCATTTGCCGTACGTGGCAAGTGGATTGGTTTTCGTCTGCGTCTACCTAACTATCCAACGCTGTAGATACCAACCTGATTGCTGAGCCAGGACCTGTGGATCCATTTTAGGAGCAGTATGAAGTTTTTCCTCTATGTCATGCTTTTTAAGCACTTTTCCGAACCCTTGTTCCCTTTTCTATTAACCCTTATTGTAACATATACTATTCAACCACCCGCCTTAGGCGCATTTCCACATGGCGGTTTACCCTTTACTGCCTTCCCCCCACTTTGATGGAAATTCACGGCCCGGCCGTGGCCAAAAACTTTCTCCGAATTGGTTGAGATCTCGTCCACCATGGCAGTCTGATCTGCAGAAGGTAAATATGTCATCTGCTTAGCCAAAGACCGCCTGCTGCCTGCGCTAAAGCACGAAATCCACTGGAAAACTGTATCGAGGGCATTGGACACTCTGGCTGGGGGCGAGCGGTTACAGCCAACGTCATTGGTGGAACGGCTGAGTGGGGTGTGGCCGAACGTCCTCTCGCAGCCCTTCCACCAATGACGTTTGCAGTAACCGCCCATTCCATCCGCCGGTTCCCGTTTCACATGCCCTGTATACAACCCCCCCCCCAGCAACTTGCAGTGCCTTGCTCGAAAAGGACTAGCGCTACACTTAATGAAATCTATATTTTTGGTTTTCTTCTACATTTTTGAAATTGCATACCTTTTTTTGGAGAACTTTCCCATGCGGGTGATTTGCTAGGTCGCCTGCAACTAGTTCTCCCCTGGGGTACTGTTCTGGTGAAGGTGGATATTCTGGGGGTATGCCACCCACTTAGTGTCCTCAGCTTTATAATATAACGCTTTGATCAATTTCACTTGTTCTGTTCATAAATGTCTTTACTTTTATTTGTCACTCCAGTCGCCTTCCGGAGCTCTATGCATGATTGCGTAGACTTTGTGTTTGGCGGTGTTCACAAGGAAAATTGAGGTTGAACCGTGGCTCCGATAGGGAAGCACATTGTGTGGTATACGAGATAAGGATATCGTTCAGCGCTAAATATGTGTAAACTCAACACCTGCACTAGAATTTTGCTACCCCGTGGCGGTTGCCCTCCCCCCCTTCTGTTAGCCGGAGTACAGCATCGAAATGGGTAAAATGGCGTTATCAGTGCTACTCCGATGTTTTCATCTCCGTTTCGACCCCTTTCAAAACCCGCCCACAGTTTTGTAAAGCCTGTTCGCTGATGGCGGATGATGGGGCGTCGGTGAGGATGGGTCTGGCGCGCCCCAGCCTGTTTTCCACAAATTGTTGCAGCGGGCAGGTGACAACAGTTGGGGGAAAACGA